TAGTGGTCACTACTAGGTGAACGCGATATTGCCTAATTGTCAGTGAACTACGGCTCTGTGTACATGAGTAAGCGAGAATGGGGGAAGGGAGGATGACCACATTCACTGCAACATCAACGGCATCGTATTAATGAGCAGGACAGATTTCTGTGTAAATGTTTTTCATGAGTGCATCATATTGGGGAAAACATAGGGTGTGTGTCTGCATTGTCTATATCAATGAGTACAATTCATTTTCTGAACTAAACGAGACCACTGGTATGTTATCTTATAATTGCGGTCTTTATGAGAGGCCCAAGGCGATCGTGTAATACAATCACAGCCACACAGCGGTTTACTAAAGCTTCCTAAAAGAGGAGCTGTGTTGGTCACATCTGCTTGAATGAGCTTTAATGGGAGGACTCAATAATGGGGTGTGTTTCTCTGACTTCCTGTTGTGTGCGGAGCCGACCCCTATGACTCTTCGGTTATTGCCGGCTTGTTGGGGACAAGCATGGCCAATCTGCCTCAGAGGAACGGGATATTGTCATGGTAATATAAAGGCGGGATTCAATTTGAGGAGACTCCTTTGTCAGCAATCAAACATGAGTGTGTCTTTATGGGCGTTATGAATGGGGAATCTTTTGCTCATTTGGATTTGACAGTTGCTTTGGACATTGAATGCAAAGAATGCAATGAAATAATGTTTTTACATTTTAAATTTTTTGCTAGGAGTGTTTTGGCAATTGTTAGGTAGATACATTTTGGTTCAACAAGCCGGATGCTTTAATGTCCAATCAAGATGTGTGATGAGTTATGTGCCAAATATGTTAAATTTCAGGTCTGAGGTTAATTAATCATATCCCTTTTGTGTTGAGGTCCACTCTGCAACCTAATGTCCAATTGCCATGCAAATTATTCTTGTTAGCCCTTGAATCTCACTTCTCCCTAATTGTTAAACGCGGATGAAAACAAACAACAGCACTGTCCAAGAAAAAAAGAGGGGGCAGGGTAATAACATTTTCCTCAAAACCCAGATCTGGAGGCATTTCAGCATGGCAGACTGTGAGATCAGGCCACTGTAGGATTAGCTCATGTTGGCAGATTCTCGCAGAACTGTAAGGACATGATTTTGATTCTTGGGACGGCTCAAGTGTTCGTGACAAATCCCGATTGTGCATCTCGCCACTGTAAATCTATGATCAGAGTGACTGGGCAGCTGGCTGCATTTGGATGCAGTGACGATGCACTAGAAACATAAATTTAATGAAATTCAATTTAAATGATGTTAATACATCACATACTTGGCTTTTGGATTAAAAGCACTGTTTTTGCTACACTGACTTGTTGAGGAGAGCTGTGTTATTAATGTATATAATTTATGGAATAATTTATGTATTTATTTATTTTGGACAGGGCCTCTAAATGTATGTCGGTAACACTATTTTAAGGTGTCCTTGTTACACGTTACATGTACTTACTATTATAATAACAAAGTATGCATAATTACATGCAAGTAACCCTAAGCCTAACCCTAATAGTACCCTAATAATATTACTGAGTACTTAGGCCTAAATGTATAATTACACTGTAACAATGAACCCTTAAAATAAAGTGCATCAAATTTTCTTTAAAGAAATTAATACTTTTATTCAGCAAGGATGCATTAATTTGAAAAGACATTAATAATTACAAAATGATTTTCAAATAAATTATATCATAAACTCTATTGTTTGTTTTGTTTTCAACATTCATAATAAAAAGAAATCAAGTCGACATTTATTTCTATAGCACGTTTAAAAACAACACAGATGATGAATAAATGAATAAATTACATTTTAAAATATAGTTAAATAAAAAATATTTTATATATATTATAGTTTCTACTGTATTTTTGATCAAATAAATGTAGCCTTGCTGAGCATAGAAAACCTTTTTCAAAAATATTAAAGATTCGACTGAATAACCCTGACTAAATTGTGTTTCACCGGTCATTTTTAAGGAATAGATGAATATTAATGCAGCATAAACGGTTTTTAAATCCGCTCTCGGTGTCACATTGTAAAGCCTCTCGTTTCTGCTTCACTTCTTACTGACCAACACACTGTCAGTCACGCTGAGACAGAGATTCTGCTGGGTCTTCTGCTGTCAGGAGAACGTCACAGCTCTGTATTGATCTGCAGACATATTTCTGATTTGACGCGGTATCCAGTAGGGAGGCATTTTAATGAAGAGACTGTAAACATAAGAACTCCACGAGAGGCGTGTGTGTATGTTCATGCATTCACTTGAGAGAGAAAGAGAGCTCAGGGAGGCATATGTGAGACCATTGTTAGCCTTTCTAGCCTCTCAAGGAACTGAGTTGTCATGGCAACAGAATATAGATGGTGTGTGTGTGGATGCAGACAGTGGGAGGGAGGCTGTACCAGTCAAATGCAATGGGTCACTAACATACGCTAGGTATTAACCCTATAAAGCCTACTGCATCATATTTGATACACACATTTTTAAGGCCTCTAAATGATCAACATGATCACAACTTGCAGGAAAACCGGTTGTGCACAATCTACTACATGCATTCTGTCGTCTGATTGATAGTTTCTACATTTTAGAAAGTAAAAGGCCTTTTATTATAAATCTAAAAACATCCACTTTCAGGTTGTGCTATATGGGTCTTTTTGCTGTGAAATGTTTTTGGCCTGCTGGATTTGCACACTTTGATTGTAATCTTTGTGAAATGTTTA